ACTCAAGTTTCCGTCTCCTTCCTTCTTCTTCTCTCCCTCTGCTCCCAGCTATCTTCACCAATGAGCAGTCAGACCAGCGTCGGGGAGGTGGCCTCTCCATCTCGGCCCAATCAGAGGACATTTCTGGATGATGTCATATTAACATTCACCTCACCAATGGCCTGGCTGATGGTCGTGGCTCTTATCATCACGTGGTCAGCAGTGGCTATCGTTTTGTTTGATCTGCTCGATTATAAAACTCTGGCAGGTAACGTCTGTTTACTTTTCTTCTTAAAAATCCCGAACTTAATTCAGCATTTTATTCTCATAATTTTATTATTTAACTGTTTATTATTATATTTTATTATTAACTGTTATCATGAAGTGTTTGTAATGTTTTATAATGCCTAATGACACTTTCCTTCCACTCATCAATCACCCATTTTCCACATTTCACACTTCCATATTTCATCCGAGCATTTTCCAACAAGACTTCAGACATTTTTGAAGCAAACTTCAAAAGTGGACATCATTTTCACCGAGTCAAACTATGGGACACACACCATCTCCTTGTTGCTTTCACCACATGTGCCTCGACATGTGTGTGTTTTGCTTTAATGCCAGTTCTGTTCAGAGTAACGCGAGGTGTGTTTCCCATCTTCTTGACACACACTGGTTTAGCGAATGCATTTCCTCCTGTTCACATAATCAGTTAAACTTTAACATTAATTAGTCTACCATTTTCTTAGCTTATTTATCAGGGCAGTAGCTCCTCATTTCCTCCTAAATATCACTCATACGGCCGTAGAATGGATCGAAAGGGTGCGTTCTGGTGTTAACATGCATACTAATAATGGAGTCACAGGGGTTGATTACAGCACTGAGCCGTACAAAGTAAAATGATTCATTTAATAACCTGCTTAATGTGGACATCAGTGGAATCCTGCGCATCGGCTGTTGCCACATTACACAAACGGGGAGCAGCTTTGTTTTCTCATATATTTTTTTAATCCCTTTATCTCCATTTCATGACTTAATTGTCTCGAGTAATCACATTTTGTTAGCTTTGATCCGGCTTTAATTGCTTCATTGTCATGAGATAACAGGAAATGAATTTGCCTGAGATCACAACCACACTGCTGATTGAAGTGAATGCAACAGTGAAGATCTCTGCTTAAGCATTTTCAGTTCTGCTTAAGGCTTGCAAATCTGTAGAAAGCTGTTAATTTATATATTAGGGGAAACGTCCATTGTGGTAAATCACAATAATATAGCACGGAGACACGGCGGTGCAGAGCTGAACATTACACTGCTTTCATTTTGAATTCATTCTGAAAAAGGCAAAAACAAATTCCAGTCGCTTCTTTATTGACAAGAAGCCGCCAGAGAGGTTGGCATATTTTATGCCCTTCTTGATGCTTCTTTTTATTAGCAAAAAAAAGTGTTTGGAAGGAAAAAACACTTTAAACTCATTTCTAAAATTCACTGTTTCCTACGTTATATCTTTAGTGTTTATTCCTGGAAAAAGAAACAAGTTGTCTAACTGAGAAACTGCCATTTTCAGAGAGGATTATTTGGTGAATTTTCTTGACTCAGATCAGCAACTTCCTGCAGCAGCAGCAGCTGATTGCTTGGCAACTGGTCGTGTCAAAAATAACCTCAGCACAAGACAACAAATTCTCGTTTTACGCTTCGGTTTTAGCACATCAAAGTGTAACACGTTAAAGTGTTATTTTAAGTAATTACTGGCAAGTAGAGCTGTTTGGACACGATTCTTTAAGCTAGGCTAAGGATGTCGCTTCTTAATATTTGGATATAAATGTCAGGATAAGACTTTAGAGTCTGACCCAGATTGTATTTTAGGGTTTGCCCTCATTTCAGATTATTAATGTTGATGTTTTGATGTTTTAAAAATGTTTTCATGCACATATTAATGCACATTGTCATAATAAAAAAATAAAAATAAACAAAAAATTTGTAATATCAGCATATCTCACATACATGGATGCCGGTATCTTTAGCTGGTCGGTATCAGCGGAAATTATCTACCAGCTGAATTCTTAGTTGAGCTTCACAATCTTCTCATCCAGTTCTCAGGCAGGATTCTGTAAAAGTGTATTTCCTTAAATACTGTCCCAGTTGATTAAATACTCAGAACTCAGTTAGGGTGAATCCATTGGTATGCATGTTAACATTGTCAGTGTAAACTTGTAATTAGCATTTAATCCATAACAGGTTTGATATTTATCTTGAAATGAACACTGTTTCAGTCACACCTTTAGTCTAAATGAATGTGTTTATTTTCCACTGATAGCATCATTGTATCCAGTACACTTTGTGTCTGCTTCTTCTGAAACAGTGTTAGTTTCAATAATGAAACTATTGTCTTTTCATTGTGTGGAAGGGAGCTGGGTTGCAGTTTCACCCTATACATTTTTTAATATCTCATTCATCTTGGTCTTATGCTTTAGTTCATCTAGCCGGTCATGTCAACAGTCTGGTCATATTTGTCTCAGCTGGGCATTCGACACATGCAACACAAACTGTACGCAGTCCTGTGGGGTTGTCACTTGAGGTACCGCCACATGTTTGATTACACTGGATGTTCTTTGTGACAAAGCCCTGAGGGGGATTTGTGTCTCAAACCAGTGACCGTTCATTGCCAAACAAATGCGTTAACCACTACATCTCGTGATTAAATAACTTGTAGAACCATCTTTAGCTCGAATCCCTTGAGGTAAATGTTTTCTAAAAAACTTCATCAGCATTTCACATTGTTGTGGAGGAATTTTAGTTCATGCTCCTTTTTTGCAGCGTTGCTTCAATTAATTAATGATTATAGCATTTCTTTATGCACAAGTCTCTTAAGATCCCATCGAAGCATTTCAGTCAGGTTGGGGTCTGGATTTTGACCGGGCCATTGCAACACCTTGATTCTTTTCTTTTATCAGCCTTTGTGCTGTGTTTGGGATCATTGCCCTGTTGTTTGACCCAGTCTCAGCTAAGCTCTATCTGTCTGACTGATGTCTCCACATCCACTCCAGAATACTTTGGTATACAGAGGAGCCATGGTCCATGCAGTGAACGTAAGGTGCCCAGGTCCTGTGACTAAAAAAACAAACCCAAATTTTTACTGATGAGGTGTTTGTTTTGGGCCAAACATCTCTGCCTTGGTCTTGTGTGTCCAAAGGACATTTTTCCAGATTTTTTGTGGTTTGTTCAGAAACAACTTTGTAAACCTGAGCCATGCTGCTATGTTTGTCTTAGAGAGAAGAGGTTTTCTCCTTGAAGTCTTTCAAAACAAGCCATACTTTTTCAGTCTTTTTCTAATTGTAGTGCTATGAACTTCACTATTTAGCATGCTAACTGAGGCCTGTAAAGTCTGAGATGTGGCTCTTTGGTTTGTTGCCGTTTCTCTGAACACGATCAGACCTTTGGGGTTAATTTGCTGAAATGTCCCCTCCTGGGAAGGGTGGCGGCTGTCTTGAATGTTTTCCACTTGTGAAGCCTCTTTTGCACCGCAGAATACTGAATTTCAAATTGTTTGGAAATGGCCTTATAACCCTTTACCAACTGATGGGCAACAACTGCCTCTGTAAGATCCCTGCTGTTGTCTTTCCTCCTTGGCAATGTGTTAACACACTTGAATGCTCCAGACCGGCAAACTGTCAAAACTTCTGCTTTCATCAAAGTGAAAACACTTGCTGATGATAAATTAATGAAGTGCATTTTATAAGCAGCACCTGGCTGTGGAAGAAAAATGCAAAAAAAGGCTGTAGGTATAGTAAACGTCCCCTAAATAAATAAAAAGAATTGATTTGGTTTTCTTTATTTTTTCTTTCTATACCTACTGGTCATTCTTTTGCTCTTTTTTGAAGTTTTTTGAAGCCATAAAAGAATAATAACTAACTCTCGGCAAACTTAAATAAGCCAAGTATAACTGAAAGTTAAATATGAAACTGCAACTGAGCTTCCCTTTCTTTCCATGTACAACAGCGACATAGTGACCCTTCTATCTATTCTACTCTCCCACCGGTTGCTACTACACATCACCATCACTATCCTACAGCGTAAGGATAGGCCTGCCTCACACATCCAACACACTCATCTCTAACTCCTCTCCTCACTTTTCCCCTTTCTTTACCCCCCCTCCAATTCCCCTCCATGCTCATGCTGTCAATCACCTGCCATCCCATCCAAAGACTACACCTCATACTGTGACGACCCCGTGTGTTTACCTCCTGGTAAAACCAACAGCAAAAACACTGTTTGACTGCTCCGCTTGCTTTCAGAGTGTTGACTGCAGTTGTCCAGAGTCAAATCTGGATAGATGTGATTTTTGCTCAGCATGTTTTTCTTTAGTTCGGAGGCTTTGACTTTCACCTTTAACGGGTAAATCGACACTAAATCTCAGTTTTTTAAGAGGCTAATAAGCTATAATAGCTTTTTACATTCTGGATTTCCCAAATCTCGCTTGCAGAACAAATGAACCTCCATCTAAAACGATGTACATTTTCACCCATTTAATGAATCCATTGATCCCGGTGGTTAGATTGGGATGATTGCCCTTACATGCCTCTTAAAATGTATTTGAAACAAGTCTTAAAGACTAAAGCACCTAAAGGCTCCAGACAGTCAGTCTGTTTGGAGAACGAACGGTTATTTTACTCGCTCTTTAAGCTTAAGGCACACAGTGTCGATCTGCTCTGATGTCAAGCCTTTGTTAATTTACTTTAGATTCACTGGAATTCAGTCTTGTTCTGTTCTGTCACCAAGCGCAAAGAGTCTGCATTTATCAAGGCCCACGGATGGGTGGCAAATTAAAGGAAATGAAGGACAGAAAGGTATTTGGCTGTCACAAGCGTCCAGAATAGACTCAGTGCTCCTTGACATCATTTTTGCACTTTACTAAAACGCTGCTCCTCCAAAATCCATTTCATCATTTGGTGTTTTCATTTGGCAATTGTGGAGAGCACTGTCCCTGGCCTTGAACCTCCCAAATGGTTTGAGAAGTGCTGACTGAAGTCCACTGTTTTAATTAAAGCATTAAGTGACCCAGTGCTCGCTTTCAGTTTCTCCAATCATTTGCACAGCTTTTATTTTTCTTTAGTTTGTTACCCATCAGTGTGTCCTCGTTCTTTCCTAGTGTTGTGCATAAAAACCAGCATGTGTACTGCATGCTTGTCTGGACTGTCTGAGTGATGATTAATGTGGTGCATGTTTCCATGACTGCTAACGTGATAATTCAGGATCATTTTAACGTAGAACAATAACAGAGTCCTTCAATGGGAGTTTACTTGTTTATGAAAGTTACCCATCTTTATATAAGTCAAGGAAACCTTTTGCCGAGGGGCTAGACCGGAGAACGGGAGTACACAGGGATTCTCTAGAAGCTCAATGTAGGATGCACATGATCCTTCAGTTTTTGAAGCAAACATTTCCAAGGTGAAAAATGACAAAATGCTGGGCTTTAACACAAGGCTTTTCTTCCATCACAACATTTCAGCAAAGAACAGTGTGTGTAAACGAAACAGCTACAAGACATTTTGGGGATATTAAAGAAGAAATACAGTTGTAGAGTTTTTTGTTTTTTGCATTTCAGATCATCAAACAAATTTAAATATTAGACAAAGATAACACAAGTAAACACAACATGCAGATTGCTAATTAAAGTGTTTATAATCAAGGGGGAAAAAATCCAAACCTACACGTAGCCCTGTGTGAAAAAGTAATTGCCCATGTTGCTAAATCATGAATTAACTGTGATTAACTGCACTTATTGGAAAGCTGAGTTAGATTTCATTTAAATAGAAGCTTTTTGACAAAGTGAGGCTAAAATATCTCAAAAAGCAACGCATCAAGTAACAATTTGGAAGGTTTGAGTCCCAATACAACTGCTATAAAATATCACAGGAGCGGTCAAACATGGGGGTTGTAGCGTGATGGTCTGGTGGCTTTGCTTCTTCGGTACCTGGATGATTTGCCATATTGATGGAAACGTGAATTCTACTCTCAACCAAACTCCTGATGGAAATGTCCGGCCACAAGTTCCTGCTCCGGAGTTCATGCACACTCAGGACAATGATCCGAAACACAGCAGCAAGTCCTCCTCTGAATAGCTCAAAAAAACCAAATTGAGGTTGTTGGGTTGGCCCAATTTTGTTTGGGTTGCGGCCTTAATTCCTTTTTCCCCAACCTTTCCGTTTTGGTTCAATTTAACCATTTTTGGAAGGATGGTTGGGCCAATTTCTTCACCGGGGTTTTGAAGGCTTTTTGGCCGTTTTTGGCAACTGTTTATTTGCGTTTTTTGTTTCCAGGGTTGGCCCACTTGTTTTTTGGTTTTGGGGGGCATTTCTTTTTGAAAACCTTGGAAAACTTTTTCCCCCTGAAATTAAAAACTGCATTTTAGATTTACTCAGTTTATCCTTGTCTAATATTAAAATTTACTTGATTATATGAAACAAGTCTGACAAAAAAAATTTAGTAAATAAATCAATAAATCAGGAACAGGGCAAATCATTTTTCATAGCACTGTATGTAAAAATATGCAAACTCAGTCTCTTGTGAGCGATGAATAAAAACCCTTTGAGCATTTAAGACTTAAATGTATAAAACCATTTGGTGTCTATCTGACTTTGTTAATAGTGCTGCAAATAATACGGGTTAGGGTAGAGTAAAAAGGTTGGCAGCTCCATCTTCAACATCTCTTGCCCAATATATCCACCATCCCTCCTCTGCACGTCCAAATAATCTCAGCCAAACCTCTCTAACTTTGTCTCCAAACCACTCAACCTGAGCTGTCCCTCTGATGTATTCATTTCTAATCCTGTCCATCCTGGTACTCCCAGACATTGTCGATATAAAGGATACAAAGGATGTTGAAGGTGGAGCTTCCAGGCAAGAGGAAAAAAGAAGACATCAGAGCAGATTGATGGACATAGCGAAGGAGGACATGCAGAGAGTTGGTGTGACAGAGGAAGACTCTAGGGACAGGGTGAGATAGAGGTAGATGATCTGCTGTGGAGGCCCCTAAAGGAAGCAGCCAAAAGAATAATAATAATAGGAAGATACTTTCACATATAGGATTTTGCTGCTCTCAGGTTCAGCAGTGATATTGTGTAAAGTTTCAAATACATCCCAAACACTTACAACTCTACTTTAGGCCACAATATTTACAGCACTCTGACCAAAGTCAGTTGGCTTTGATAAATGTATAAAACCATTTGGTGTCCAAGTCTTAAAAATGAAAGGTCATAAAAGCAGAAAGGGTTTTTACTCGTGATCGCTCACTCTGTATGTTTTGACGTGAAAAAAGAAAGAAAGAAAACGTTTTGTTTTAGTCTTTTGCACAGGTGAGTCGGCATTATGAGAAATACCTTGACTGTTTTGATATCTGCTTTAGGAGTGGAGAGGATGATGTTGCTGATGTGAGTATCGCACCAGAGACATCTAGAAAAACTGCACGAAAAATATGGGATAACATACGGAATTAGAGAGACAGAGATCCCCACACTCTCAGGGACATACTCTATAACAAAGGCAATTCAGAAGAAAGTAAAAAACAAAAATGACAAAAACAGGAATGGAAAAATGCCGAGATGCGTGAGAAATGCAAAAGCAAAAGGTGTCACGTCTGTTAGGCAGGGAAGGACCCAAAATGCAGGACTTGGCAGACAAAAGTATAAATGAAAACAGCTTTATTGCTGAACCCTTGCAAAAAATACAAAATTAACTTATACCAGGAGCTAGTAATCCAACAAACAGACGCATGCAGGGAAAGATCGAGGAAGGACTCAAACAGGCTGAGGACGATTACGACAAAGAGCAGAATGAGATCAAATATTGACAGGGAACAGTAACAGGTGGGAGCAAGACTGAAGCGACCAATGAGACACAGAAAGCAAAACTAAACAGAAAGCACACAAAACGAGAGACTATCAAAATAAAACAGGAAATGACAGACAGACACAGAAGAGGATTACACTAAGCCAATGGGAGGGAAGGGGGGGTGGGGGCGGGTAGTCAACAACAAGAGCAAGCAGGTAACTACAGGTCAGGTGTCGGACATTGGATCCACTCCACAATCACAGGAATTGTAATATATTTCCATAACCAGAAGACTAAATAATAAAGAATAAAGAACCAGAATACAAAGCCAAAAACTCCCCAAGAATTTCAGAATATTCCAGGTAGGAGGAAGGAAGGAAGGAAGGAAGGAAAGAATGAAGGAAGGATAGAAAGAAAAACATTAATATTCTCTTGTATCATTTATTTTCTCTTATCCAGTTTGTTTTTGTCTCTTCGAACTCTGCGCTTTTCTTCTGAAGTCAGAGCCCCTTGGGTTCTCTTTTTTAAATCTCTGTTGCACAATTTGTATTTTTCATCTATATCCTTTGTGTTTTATCATTTTGATGTGGCTGCTAAACTGCAGTAAACTAAAAACATAACAAAAACAAAAGGCAGAAGAGAGAAGAAAAGAGTCGGATGATAAGCACATGAAAGTGAGAGCATGAGAGAAAATAGATTTAAAGAGGCGCGACGTGGAAGAGAGATGTGATTGGAAAAGAAAGAAAGAAAGAAAGAAAGAAAGACAGACAGACAAAGAAAGGTGGAGCGGAAGGGAAACTGAGTGACAGCAATCAAAAGAAGGAGAGGGAGCGTTAGCAAGGGAGAAAGCTGGTCTCCTGTTCCCTGTCTCTCTGGCTCTGTGTCTGCAGTGCCAATCAAAGAAATGTCAGTGCATTAATCAGTTGTTTTATGAGGCTCCATTAGCCTATGCACCTCCTCCGCACTGGGCGAGAAGCAGGCGGAAAGCTTCCTCCACCTGGGAGAGAGAGACTGAAAGAGATCCACGGAGAAACCCCAAACAATCCATTTAGCACTCCGGAGCCAACAGTTATCTAAATGCAGAGTATTGATGAATGTGCTAATTCGCATGTTCCTCAGAGAGGCAGATGCAAAACACCTGCACTGCAGCGGCAGCATATGATTACAGTTTGTTTTAAGGACTTTTAGCAGCTTAATAACAGGTAATAGTTTCAGGACCAGAGAAGCCAAAATATAAATTAATATTTGGCTGCTTGCAGATATATTCAGGCAGAGCAGCGACAGGTCACGCCTTAATCAGCTGATTGCACATGAGATCAAGTCATTTAAAGCTCACGTGTGCAGCTCGGTAAGACAATAAACAGACACAGCAGCAATTACTGGACAGTTTAAGAAAGAGTTAAAGAAGCTGTGACACACAAACAGCCTTTAAAGTAGACAAAAAAAGTGTTCAAAAGGCACAGAGGGGAGGAAGCAGAAAACAATATTCCAGCGTCATGTCTTCATAATGCTTCTCGTGCAGCATTTGATTGCAACCTAATCACGCCCGTGTTCAGTAATCCAACCTAGAAATCACATTACAGTTTCTATTACCGCAACGAGGAAACATTTAGCTGAATGTGTGTTTAACTAATGCATTTGTCGTTAATAGACGGCATGCTTCATTCATTCAACAAAACACCGCCTCTGAATGTAATCCAGAGCACCATTACAATCATTATGGGAATAATAGTTTAGCTGGAAATGCAATTTGTAGGAAACCGAGCGCCCAATTTCCCGTGGAAAAAGGTAATCCTTAAAATGACACAATTGGAGAAAAATACGTATCATTTGGTACCTTGGTGGCCCTCTCGGAGAGGTCGCCCTTTATAAATGTTTTTAGCTGAGGTAAGTCCATTGGTTTCATTGCTAATAATTGTGTGTCGTTGTAAGCTTGATTGAAATCTCCATTTATTTATTTTTTAATTCAGAGACATCAAGTCTTCTTATTGAATTCTTATATTTGATCTTAATAAAAATGCATCCACCATCCCATAATCCCCTTCTGCTTTTACTTCTACTTGACCTGTCCTCTTTGACAACTCCAAACCTTTATCTTAATAGATTTAACCATCGCCAAAAAATAAAGCAACTAAATATTTTACTGGAAAAACAGTGGCTCAGTTTCCTGACAGATCATACAAATTTAGAAAACTTGACTTCAGCTTGAAAGAACAATTTGACCCAATTTGGGAAAAACATGGTCGTCGTTCTTATGATACCCAGCGTGCATTTAAAACAATAACATGACAAAATCACACGCCGAGACTCCCACCATTTTTGATACACACAACCCACCTCATCTCCTTCACTGTTTCTTTGATCTTTTATTCATCGGCAAATAAGTAAATTAAAAAGGTGTGTGTGTATGCGTGTGCAAAAAAAACAAAAACAATGGGCCATGTTCATAGCAGCCTGTGGAGTGAATTTGTGGACGACTCCGGGGGGGCAATTTGACAAGATGAACAAATATAAATCAGTTTTTAAAAAACACTTGTAGAGCAGTTTATGGTTGAGGCAGAGTGTTTAATATTTCAGGTCCACATTTTGATACTGAGCAGATACTTGGGTTGCAGACTGCAGAGAATACAGTGGATCTACTGTACATTAAATATTGATAATTTTATATAATATATATATGACACGTTTTTAAAAAAGCAATACTTTTGGCAGGGTGTAGATATAATAGTTATACATAGATATTAATAAAACAAGGGACAGTATATTAGACCGGTGTATATATATTTATAGATCATTTATATATTAGTCTGTATAATAATAATAATATTTTCATCACATGAATATATATTTTTTATGTCACTAACATTTGTTGCTTATTTGTTTAAAATACAGATCCATCCATTCGCTTCCGCTTATCCTTTTTCAGGGTCGCTGGAGCCTATCCCAGCTGTCATAGGGCGAGAGGCGGGGTACACCCTGGACAGGTCGCCAGTCTATCGCAGGGCCAACACACAGGGATAGACAACCATTTGCACTCACATTCACACCTAGTGGCAATTTAGATTATCCAATTAACCTCTCCCCACAAGTTGGGAGGAAGCCGGAGTACCCAGAGGGAACCCACGCAAACACGAGGAAAACATGCAAACTCCACACAGAAAGAATTGAACTCACCCACTGTGCCACCGTGCTACAGACCTGAAATACAGATCTGATAATTAAATTCATGCTGTGACGATGTCATTATCTTTCTATTTTTGCCTCTGTATGCCACCACAGTGCACTTTTTTTATTTTTTTTATTTTAGGTCCTTATTTATTGCAGGGATTTATGAACTATTTAGGAATTACAACCACATTTATACACAGAAAAACAGAAGTAATTGGACAACTGACTAAAAAGTGGTGACCTGCTAAAGCCAGTTCTGGTATATTCTGGTATATTCTTAAAATGGCCTGTATTTATATAGCGCTTTACTAGTCCCTAAGGACCCCAAAGCGCTTTACACATCCAGTCATCCACACACACATTCACACACTGGTGATGGGAAGCTACATTGTAGCCACAGCCACCCTGGGGCGCACTGACAGAGGCGACGGAGTAAAAAATAGACGAAGCTTCCAGCTCTGTAGAATGAAGCCAATGCTAGTCACCGTAAACCTGCACGCTTTTTCAAATCTCCCGGCAGTGATATCTGTAGTTTTCAAAAAAGAGTTCTGGTCCTATACAAGTCAAGGTTACAAGTCAAGGACCTACCTGCATTTATATAATAATTCAGTCCTTTTACATTTTTGGTAACTGGTAAAAAACAATTGTGTATTACTGACTTAAAGATCTAAAGATCCAGTATCAGGGTGCTTGTAATGGAAAGATTAGTGAGTCACAACTATTTATATTTGTGCAGATGAGATCAGGGGTGGAAATCCAGGTAAAAATTAATCAGGAATGTTTTAATATTTCTGCAAATTTAATACCGCTGTGGTTTCTTGCTGTGCTCTCATTCAGCATGTGCTCTGCATCATGGAGAAAAAAATGTTTTTTTAATGGAAAGTGTGATTTGTGTTCGGGAGCAGCTTTTTTTTCTTTCTCTTTAACATCTTTGCTGCATTAAAGCGGCAAAGCTGTAAATCTAACGCTATATGTGGCTGAAAACACGAACTATGCAGTCAGGCGCAGAGGCTGCTGATCGTTGTTTTTCTCAGTTCTCGTTGTGGATTATCTTTCTATTGTGCGTGTTCTTCCTTTTCCTCTCAGCATGCGTCCTGTGTGTACTTCATACGATGCAGTTTCGGTTAATGTCGTGCTTGTGTGTCTCCTCTCCTCAGGCCTTCCTCCCCCTGCCGCCATTGCGAAGAGAAGTATGAGGACTAGAGGCAAGCAGAGACTTCTAAGCCAGCATACATCACATAAACACCCAAATTCAAAACATAAACCTGTCGCATAGTGTACTATACTATGTTATGCTATGCTAGATAGTATATACTATATAGCATATTGTATACTATGGTAGTATACTAGCATATGGTTGTGAAAACAAACCAAGGCTTACAGAACTGTGACAAACCCCATCATAGTGTGTGAGCTTGAACAGCTTCATAGGGTAAAGTCTTATATAAGCGTCTGTCATATAAAATCTTACTGTTTGGATGTTAAACATGGCCAAAGTTACAGTTGATGACATCAGTCTATTTATTTGTAATCCTCATGAGCCAAAAGCTCAGGCGGGCTTCACACTGCTCTAAACCCTCTGTGTCACCTTGGTTTTTCAACTCTGGTCTCTACACGATATCAGTGGGAGTGGATATTCGAACACACAGCTCTGACTGTGAGGTCAAAAGAGCTTGAGATGGACAGCCAATCAGAAGAAAGCCCTCTTAAAGGGAGAAGAGCTAAAACAGCTTGTTTCCAAAGTCCAAGATCAGATAACTAAGGATTATTTTTGAACTGTGAAAGCAAAGATACTCTATTAGAGTCCAAATAAATACAGGATAGTACACATTCACTGGCCACTTTATTAGGTATAACTGTTGAACTGTTTGTTAATGCAAATATCTAATCAGACAATCACATAGCGGTAATTCCATGTAAATTTAGGCACGTAGACACAGTCAAGACAACTTGGTGAAGTTTAAACTGAACATCTGAATGTGGAAGAAAGCTGATTTTAAGTGACTTTGACTGTGGTATGGTTTTTGGTGCAGACAAGTGCTTAGAAAGTGTTTAGTTTCGGTCACTGTCTGAGAGAAAGTTACGTTCCAGCGAAACTTTGATTTGCCGTTCTAGCTTAGATAAAACATTAAAATGAAAGGTTCTGTTGTTTAGTTATATACTATTCATGAGATCTTTATCTCTATTCTGCTTTGCTTTAGGTGGAGTTCGTCCAATAAAATCAAGCTCTGCTGGAGTCTCACCTCAGGAGAGCACTGACTGGCTGGAGATGATGTGGGCATTTGCAGCCAGTCTGGTAGCTCCTGATGAGGAGG